TCAAGTTAGTAGAGATATAACTACCGCATGTTCTTCATTCGTCCCTCGTCCTTTCAGCTCGCCAACCCACAACTATCTAACCCGGTCTCAACTCGTTCGAATCAGTCTGTTTCATAATTCCTCTAGTCCGGTTACTGTTTAAGACGTTCAAAGTTCGGACCGCATGGCGTTTACAGCCAGAATCACCCTGTACCTTCTCTGAGTTAGCCATCTACGAAGCTCGGTATCGCATCATCGATCGAGAATAAGCGCCTTGTCCCTCCAGCAATGTGTGGTGCCCAATCCGAGTCATGAAAAGTCCTAAAGTCCTTTGCCACAGTACAAGAATTACTCATGATTCTTGTGGGGTTGTCAATTTGTATTCTTTTTCTTTTTTCCCATGCTCGCATCCACATCTCCCAATCTCAGATCACCGGACAGATACTCTTAGAAGCGCCACAGGCTGGCGGAGATTGTCAGCAATTGTTTGAAACTCTGAACCCCGTTTGCGAGTCTGGATCGCCTATCCAGCTAGGTGGGCGATACACAAGGCGTGTCGCCGTTCCAAGTTTTCGCACAGTGGAATTACTGGAAGTGAACGCTGCAATGATCGAGGTCCCTGTTGGCCCGGAGGAGGATCCAGAATCAGAGACAGCGAAAAGATCGACACGAATGACTTCGCAATGGTCAGCATGAAACGCACCCTTTCGCAAAGTTAAAATCCTCTGGACTCCTACCAGAGCTTGTCACGGCTCGGTGGCCAGCTACAGACAAGATAGCCATCTTCACCTCGTAGAAGGCGGATGCTTGCTCGAGCCACAAACGCAACGACCAATCATCTGGGTGTATCTCGCTGGATCGAACTCGGCAATGGGTTTCCTTACACCGGGAAGGTTACATGGAAGGATGTCACCGCTCCATCAAGGAACTAACTTTTCCTGGGCATCTCCTCGACGGAAAAATCCCAGGTCAACGCGAAGGTGCTGACCGCCCTAGTCGTCTATTGGGAAACTTGAAACGCTCACTTTGCGGCTGTGCATATGTAGCTAGATGCATTTGGCGATTGGACCTGGACAGACCCAGTGAAGGGCCGACTCGATTCGCCTTTGCTTCCCATTATGTCTCCACCCAGGCATGACGCTCCGATTAAGCTCTCCCAGCGATTGACCAATCCAAATGGCAAATCTCTCAGAAAGATAGATTGCTTGAGCTTAATGGGCAGGGGATATTGACGATAATTTTGCCCAGGAGCCAGCCATTGAGTAACTCATGCTTCACTTCGAGCATGCCAATGGGACCAAGGGCGCAGAGTGTCACACAAAGTGACCTCGAAGACATAGGGAGATGGTGAAGCAGAGTCGCACTCCTCATTCTGTCGCCTGAGTTGATCATTTCAGCAATCATCCTTGAAAGAATAACCCAATCGGTCAGTCTTTTTCTTTTTCTTTTCTTTTTTTTTTTTTCATTTGACCAAGCATTTTCAGGGGGATACCTAAAGACCATAGGATAAGCAAACGGTGTCGATCTTGTTTACGGCAGCAGTGATGGCAACCCTGGCCGCAGGAGTTCTGGTTCACGGTTGGCAGAGACCACCACATATCGCCGAATTCCAACGACTTCACAATACACATATCTATATGTCGCATGTGAAAAGGGAAAAGGAGATGGAGCACGTCTCATCGGTTCAACGGCTAGGACCGCTCCTTCGAGGAAGCGGGGGCCGCTTGAAAAGTCAAAGGTCCACGTCTGCAGGGCAGAAGCATGAGATTTCCTACGACTGATATTCTTAGGGCCAACTACGCTGAACCCTCATGACAACTACACGCTATTACCATACAACAAGGAATCTACTGTGTACCCGTCTTCGTTGAGGACACTTCACAATGGGCTTGACTCTGAAGTCGAGTCAAAGGAAGGGAAAGAGGGAATGCAATGGAGTGTCAGTGTCAGACCTTATGAGAATAGGGGTTGCCCTTCGTAGACTTCCGGCTGATAACAGTAGAATTCTCCATTCACTGTTACAGTGAGAACATTTTCAGGATGGAGACAACAGCAGTCTAGAGATTTCTTGGCTTGTCTTAGGTTCCAGTGCAGCTTAGGAACCAAAAACAAAGCTAGATGAGGGAGAAGCAAATGGATAGAATGATAACATATATGAGGGAATAATCATCCACTCTTATATATGCTATTAGTATTCAGGTTTGCATTATTTGATTGCTGACAATGTGGTGCGCTCAGGTCGAAGGAAAAGAGCAAATGTATGGAGTAGTAGAAATTGACGGGAAGTAAAGGAAAAAATCAAAATATGAAGAAAATCAAATTTTCCACCCGCAGCATCACCAGTCCACCACCAGCTAGATCTACAAGACTCTGTCGGCCACCACCCGAATATACAACAGAATCAGCATAACAGACATCTGACGGGTTGATCTCCCAGTCAAAACCCTAGGCTGTCTTGTTTCAGTATTTGAAATCAAACTATAGAAACGGAGTACCCGGTCACCTTCCCTGTCAGTGACCAAGAAGGCAGCCGATCAGCTGTTTCTTGGACTGCGATTTGATCTCGACCAGGAGTCGAGCACGGGGAATATCGGTATCAGGCGGTTGCTTGGCCAGAGCATCAGCACATATCTGTCACAGATCTAGTATTATCGTCGTCGCCTCGTATATCCCCCTATAAGTAAGGAAAGATCTCGCCGCCGGTCTTGGTTCCACTTCGCCATGCACACCCTCAAGGCCACGGCATCATCGTCGCTCTCTCTGGGCCCGGGAAATTACATCTACTCGATCACTCCCATGTCGCCTGGCTCGTTGGCGGCTATTTCATCGGATGACTCGTTGCGTGTTTGTGATGGCGCTGGTCTTGACCGTGTCGCAGTGGTTGCGGCTCAAACGCACGGGAATGGGGGTGTGACGTCGCTGAGGAGGTATGGGGCTGGTCAGCATCAGCAGCTGCTGGTTACTGGTGGTAGGGATGGTAAAGTGAAGTTGTGGGATTTGAGAGGTGGGAAGGGCTCGGCTGTTGTTGAGATAGAGACTGGTGAGTTGGGTTCTCGCTTGAGCTGGACTTGTCGCTATAAGTGATATTGGTGGAGGTTAGGCTACTGTCTGTGCTGACTGCTTTGCTTGCTTGTGGATAGTCAGGAATGCGCCTGTGCTGTCGGTAGCTTGCTGTGCTGAGACCAATACTGTTGTTGCTGGTACGGAGCTGGTGTCCTCGCAGGCTGTTGTTGCATTCTGGTCAGTCGTGGCTGAATTGATAACATCCGGTGTCTACACGAGCTGCTAACTGACATGCAGGGATATTAGATCGCCGGGGGGAACCCGGCTCCAGTACGTCGAGAGCCACAACGACGACGTGACCGAGGTGCGTACTACCCACATGTTCATGTCATGCTACGTACTGATGAGAACCAGCTTCAATTCCACCCCACCCGTAACAACATCTTACTGTCCGGAAGCACAGACGGACTGGTCAACATCTACGACACCACCATCACGGACGAAGACGACGCCCTGGTGCAGGTCATCAACCACGGCTCCATCCATCACGCCGGGTTCCTGGGCGAGCGCACCATCTTCGCCCTCAGCCATGACGAGGACTTCTCCGTCCATCCGGCCACGGATCCCGACGAGCAGGCCGAGGAGCCCAAACCCATTCAGTTTGGAGATCTAAGGCAACCTCTCAACTGCGAGTATATCGCCCAGCTCTGCACCGGCAGCCAGGGGGCGTATATTGCTGCTGGGCATAAACTGTACGTCCACATCTCCTTGTTTATCTCTACTTTCGGTCATATCTGACGGCTTTTCCCGCAGTGAGAAACGCCTGGACCTCGTCCCCCTCATCCCCGATCCGTGGCGGTTTGACCAGGTCAACCTCTGGCGTCTTGCGGGTGCGCACGGCGAGGAGGTCGTCCGTTCGGTCTACGTCGACGAGCAGGTATGTTTCTTACTCGTGGTTTCTAACATGACCCAGACTAACCGTTCCTTGCAGAGTCAATCCGTATTCACCGGGGGTGAGGACGGGTTCGTTCGTGCCTGGAAGCCAGCGGATGAGGAGGAAAGCCAGGCCGAACTTTCTCCGGCCAAGCCTTCACGACCAAAGGAGAAGAAACGCGAGAAGGAGCGGTTTAAGCCTTATTGATTGTGGGCCTAGAGTAAACTAGTGGGTTGGAAATTATATACTGCATCACGAATTCTGGTCTATATCGTACGGAGTACTCGTCGGCTCTGGGTCGTGTCTTCATATCCCCAAATGACGTGAACCTTGCCATCGCTGAAGAATCCGATCATCCAAAGAGCGCTTGACGCCTGCAGGATATATCTAAGGAGTCAACAACCAACCAATCACGATTACATGGCACAACGCAACCATCTTTACTGTATCATGGATTCGCTCAAAGACCTAATGTAGTAAGTTGTTCGTACGCAGTTGTACGAAATCCGAATCCGACTAAAAAAAAAGGGTAAGACGACACAACAAAAACAAAAAGTAGTCGCGCCCGGGATCGAACCGGGAACCTTCTCGGAATCCTTGAAGATGCTCACAATCGACTGTGAACGAGAAATCATAACCATTAGACCACGCGACTGCTCGTTGGAATACTTTGCAAACCAGAAGCTTATGTACCAAATAAAAGATTCTCACTAGGTAGGAAACCTGCGCTCTTGTCCCAGCTCCGCAACTTTTTTTTCTTTCACTCTTTGATCTCCAGTCTCTGCGGCGGGTTAGTCGGTGGTCTGTCCCGTACCTTTTCTCAAGTGATTTATTATTGTCTTCTTCTACTCCTGATCCTCAAAGGCAGCCGGCTATACCCCTCCCCATTCTTCCGTCCGGTTTATTCCTGTCAGGTTTTCTCAAGCGCCATCCCTCAGAAGCAAAACTCGATGCACGCCAGCGCCGTCTAAACTAACCGCCACCCAACCGCCAACGAAGTGCCTCACCAACTCCATCACACCTCTCCTCCCGGCCCATACCCCCAACCTCTACCTAATTACCGAAAAAAAAAAGTCCAACACGAATGGACGCCCAAGCCTACCTCATCCGTCATGGCTGGTCCGGACCCGGCAACCCACTGAATCCCGACCGCCCGCAGGGCGGCGGCCTCGGTCTTACGAGACCCATCCTCGTCGCGCGGCGCTCGGGCAACCAGGGCGTGGGCAAGAAGACGACCAAGGATCCCACGAACCAGTGGTGGCTGCGGGGGTTTGAGGATGCGCTGAAGGGCGTGGGGCAGGAGAGTGTCGGCGGTGCTGGGGCAGTGTCGAAGCCGAATGCGTTGACGAGCGAGTTGTATCGGTTTTTTGTGAGGGGGGAGGTTGTGCCTGGTACGATTGATAGGAGGAAGAAGGAGGTGGTGGAAGAGGTCAAGGGAAAGAGGAAAAGGGAGAAGGATGGGGATGTTGAAGAGGCAAAGGCGCGGCGGAAGGAGGAGAAGCGGAAGAAGCGGAAGGTGAAGGAGGTATCGTCCAGTGTGGATGAGACCACTACCGAGAGTCGAGACGAGAGTAAAGAGGAGCGCCGGCGGAGAAAGGAGGAGAAGAAGAGGAGGAAGCAAGAGAAGGAGCTGAGGAAGCAGGAGGAGAGCAGTGCCGGCGAGGATGACAAGGCCGCTCGCAAGGAGAAGAAGAAAAAGGACAAGAAGAAGACGAAAGTCTTGGAAGACGAATATCCTACTCCTCCATCTACGGAACAAGAGCAGACGGAGTCCAGCAGTGGACGGGACGAATCCTCTGACCCGACGGCAAAGCCGAAGAAGAGGAAAGAGAAAGAGGATTTGAGACAGGACAAAAAGGCCAGGAAGAAAGGCGCCTCGTCGTCGGAGGATAGCACGAAAAAGAAGTCGAAAAAGTCGAAACAGTCGACCAACGAGTGATATTGGCACGCCTCTTCATGTACAGATAGATTTTCGTTCATCAGATCAGATACCCATTTGGCACCGCTACGCCGACTTGATAAAAGTTCTCGTCATTTCACCAGATCATCTTCTTTACTTATCGTCTTGTACCTCGTAAGATCAAGCCTCGGGCAATTTACCTGGCTTGCCCGAGAGAATCCAAGGCCTTCTCTCCCAGAACTCATCCTTGATAATGTCGACATGATCAACGACCACCTGCGCTTTCCGTCGCAGTTTACGCAGTTTGTCTTGCTGCGACTTCGAAGTTTTGCTTTCATCCACCGGCGCCTCAGCATCATCCCTATGCCTCGATCTGGACTCGGGCTTGGGATCTTCTAATTGATACTGCAAAAGTCCACGTTAGCCGGCAATCATTAAAGGCGTTCCTGCTCGCCTACCTGACGATAAAGCACACTCCCTTTCTTATACATCTCATCCTCGTTGTTATAATTGATCCCAAACCTCTTGAAGAGGATCTCATTCTTGTCGGACGAGACCGTCCCCTGACACAACTCGTCAGCTCATGTGGAGTAAACCACAATCCAAAAGCGCGCACACACCTGTAACTCCCTCTCAGCGTCCGTATTACTCATCCCTCCCTGCTGAACCATCGTCCAAAACGTCGTATTGTAGAGATTATTGATGTGGCCTGGTTTCAATCAGTACATGTCGACCGAGTACAAACCAACGAGATCAAACGCACAATCCACCTGTCTCCAACTCATATAATCGCGCATGATCCTAGCGGTCGGGTACAGGACCGCCCGCCCGTCGAACGAGGGCAGGTACGGAGGCTGCAAAGGTGTAGACGGGAAATACGTCCCCCATTGATAGATATAATGTGCGGTAAATGTAGACACAATCGTCGTGACGAGCTTACTGACCCCAAGATTAGTGTTTGCAGAGATCAGAAGGTCAAGGCGAGGATAAATAAAATGCTGGCCCTGGCTGTGGCTGACTCACGCGCTGCGTCGCTCGAATAGCTGACAGCTGGGGTGGAAAACGAAGCTGCTCGTGGTCAGAGTCACGAGTAATGTAGCCTTAGCTGGCAAGGGACCGACCTGTATTCATCGCTCACACCATAGGCGATGCACAGATCCGGGAGTTCTTTCATGACCTCCACGGCGGCGGCGTTCATCAAGTCCAGCGCGCGGCGGTCGTTGGGTTTGATGAATGCATAGCGATCGGAAAGTCTATGTCATCTGTTAATTCAGGCCCACTTGGGGGAATAAGTAGGTTGGGAGGCAAATACTTGTGAAATCCTCTGCCGTCGATGCGCACCACGATCCAGGTATTCGGCAGCAAGACGTCGGGCTGCTCAAATGATTTGACGTACTCGTACCTGATTGCGCATATCAGCTATCTCTCCATGCTCGATGAGAGACGATTCTAATTACTTTGAGTTCGCCATATTAATAATATATCTCATGTATTCTTCGTTGCGAGGGCATAGCTGATAGTCTTTTGTTCAGTTTCGTCCGCTGGTCAAATGAAATCTCTCTGTTGTGCGGGCAGCCGAGCGGACTACGATAATGACCTTAGGACAGCACTTGAGCCATGATTGCTGCCAGATTAATCCAAGGTATTCAAAAACCTATACCTACAATTATTGAGAACATTCTAAGCATTACTTTGACAATTCTGATGACATATGTGGGGAGATGCTATCTCTCACCCACCAGCTATACGATTCTCGTATACGAATGTGCTATATACCAGTGAATGGCTTTAGACATAATGATAAGAAGGAAAAAACCTTGGAAAGCAAGCAGAAGGACCAGCGGGTCGTCGCCAAGCACATGCAAAGGAAACAATCAAAGAATGTATAGGAATGCATAGGTGCAGCCAACATGCAGTTTGTGTAATCTGTAATCTCAATGAGAGGATGAATATCAAAAACCGAGGATCACACAAGACTGAGCCCGGCTCAAGATTCGTCCTCTTCCTCGGCGATTTCATCATCGCCAGTCTCGCTGGCCAGTTCGCTAGGCCTTTCACTTGTCTCACTGGCAGCTTTGTCGGATTTCTTGGACTTCCGGCTGAAAAACCCCAGACTGCTCCTGGTCGATCTGTCGCCAGACGGAGCGCTGGAGACAGTGCTGTCAATACTTTTGGCAAGTTGCGCCTCGCTGCTCGCATCCTCGTCGATGTCGCCCTGGGACGAATCGCCCTTCTTCGAAAACAAGCCGGAGCGTTCCTTCCACGAACCGAATTTGCTCGAGCTGCCCTTTCGGGTGATCTTTCGGATGAACGACTCCTTCGAGTTGCTGTTGTCCGCAGAAGTGGCTGATGGCATGCGCTCCAGTGATTCATACGAATCTCCAGTGAAGATGGACAAGGACCGGGAACGCGAATCCCTCGAGATGCGCGACTCCGACGGAGAGCCTTCCTCCATGTGGAAATCAAAAGGCATATCGGATTCTCTCTCCTTCCCTTTCTCTTTGTCCTTATCCTTGTCGGACTTTCTGCTGAAGATGGTCTTGAACGTGGGTGCTGCGGGATTCAATTTTGGAGTCACTGGTCGATGGGAGGAGGAGGGCCGTGTACCAATTGGGGCTTGCAACGGCCGACCTTGGCGTTCGAAAGACTCCTGAGGAAAATCAGGCTCACCTGTAAGCCCAAGGGGCAAGTGACCAGAGGACCCGTACGTAATAGATGGCCGACGGGATTGAGCCCTGGACCATGAGGACGGAGAGGCCCAATCAAAACCGAGAAGGCTGCGGTGGCCAGGCTTTTCAGCGGAGGGCCATCCGAAAGGGCGATTATCCGTGGAGGGATGAGGAAGCTGATTATCGAAGGAGAAAGTCGATGAAGGTCTCGGGGACAGTGAACCTCGTCGGACAGTACCAAGAATCGATGCTGGGTCGATTGGATCGTGACGGGGACTGAACTGATTATAACCTGTGCTGAGATCAGAGGACTCGCTCGACTTCAACAGACTGCTGCTTCCACCGCCGCCGAAACCGAATCGGCTGGGGGAGAAGATACTGGAAAATCCTGCTCGTCGCGACGGCAGGTGGTCAGAAGAGCTGTCTGCGGTGACAGCCGCAGTATTACTCCTGGGAAGCAACGACATCGGATTGGCCCAGTTGCCTGTATGACTCAACCGCCGACGCCTTGAACCGATGGGGTCCATTTCGTCCAAATTCCTAGGGAAAGATTGGCTCTGTCCCGCTTTCAGGGTGCCCAGCAAAGGCGGCTCATCGGCCAGTGTTTTACCACGAGGACGATGGAAGCCAAATAATCCCGATAGCCTCCTCGTCGCGCTTTTAGGGGCATCACTAGATTCAGCAACATTTGCAGACTGGGACTCGGTCTCTTTGCGATCCTCAAGGGGGCTGGCGAAAATGCTAGCCGGCTTGCTTCCCCCTGCAGACTCGGGAGACGACGGGCCGCGCGAATAGCTTTCCAGCTGCGATTCGGACAATTCTAGGTTGGAGAACCGAGGTCGAACTATTGGAGGAGGTGGTTCGGGAGATTCTTCATCCCCTAAAAGATCGGACGGGAGCAGGGCATCGGCCCGCGGACTCATTTGAGGATTACCGAAGGAAAGATCCAGATCCCCCCGCATCGGATCTTGTTGGTCCGAGAGACCTGGAAGAGTCATGCCGTTGTTGATATTGAAGAATGCAGAGGTGGGAGCAAATGTAGGAGAGTTGGTGGAAGGTGGATTGAAGTTGACACCGCCAGGGAAAGATGGTTCCAAGCCGGGAAAATTCATCGGGGAGGAGACGTTGCTGTTGAGAGAGCTGCGATGGCGGCGCGGACGGATAGTCGCAGTATTTGACATGTCTAGGTCGAGAGCTGGCAGCGTGAACGGTCCACTGCTGCCCGGTCGCTGGGTGGTCAACCACTTTAGGCGCTCTTGGGCCTCCTGGTACTGTTGCTGAGCCTTTTCTTAAGTCAGTAACTCTGATCTAGAAATGCAGTACGTTGTCTCTGGGTACCCACCTGTGCGTGAAGATTGACTAAAGCAGCATATCGCGCATTGAGATTGCTCAACTTGACCTCCCACTGCCTTGCTCGCTCGTTGTCAATGCGGTCCAACTCCCTCCCATCCTCGCTGTCTCCCCCCTGCTGACGCTTTCGCTCCTCCTCAAGCTTCTTGACACGTCCACCTTTGTCCTGAATCTCATCATCGAGAATTTTCATCTCCGCCTGCTCCTTAGCAATCTTCTCTCGAACTTCGTCTGCACTCTTTTTCCCTTCCTCTTCCATGCGAGCCTTCTCCTCGGTGACCTGCGCAACCTCCGCAGTCATCCGCTCCATCTCCTCACGCCAACGGATAATGTCCTCCTTGCGCCTCTTCCGTTCCGTCTCTTTCTGCTGCAGAAGTCTCTCACGCTTGGCCTTTTCATTTTGGACGGTTCGATTGACGCTCTCCAGCTTGTTAACGTGCTTCTTCAAATCGCCACTGGCCTCGTCCTTCTCCTTCACACGCTTCTTCAGCTGGTCACGCTGTCTCTCAAGCTCTTTCAAAAGCGCGATATGCTCCTCCTCTTCCTCCGCCGCCTGCTTCTCCACATTTTCATTCTCATGCTGCAGAGATTTCAACCTGTCGGCCAACCGCTCCAAGCTCTCACTGCTGTCACTATGCGCGGTGTGTTTCTGAGTCTCCTCTGGATGACCGTGCGAGAGGTCGACGCCGCTAGCCGCGGGAGATTGTTTCCGTCCAGCAGAGGAACGTTTCCCTTGCAGTTGTCCTCCACTAAGCTCGCGAGCCATCAAAGGGGCGGAAGGAGCGACCAAGCCGGCAGTGGGTCGTGGGATTGAGGCCCGAATCGTCGGGCTACCAACGGGGGCATTTTGCTGAGATTGCGACAAAGGAAGAGGCTTCGTCCGAACATGGATGACCGCGCTGGGTGTCTGAAAGTTTGCCGCACTGATGGAAAAGACGCAAATATGATATATACTTCCTGGGATCAGGTTTGAGATTTCTACCGCAGTCTCCGCTCGTTTCGATTCACCAACTATCAAGGGGGGTTAGTTTCATGTACCTTGCAAAGGGAGGACGCAAAAATAAGCTACCTTTGGAGCCGTTGACCTGAATAATATGCTTGTGAATGGAATTGTGAAAGTCGGGCAGTTTCCAGGCGATGCGAATCTCACGGGCGGTGATCTCCTCTAGAGTAACCTCTGGTGGCGGAGGGATGTCCAAGCCGAGCTTTTCGACCAGTACTTCATTCGGAGTCTGGCAGACTTGCCATGCACGATATAGTAACCTTCACGGATATTAAATAGATGATCACAAAAGGGGAACAAGTATATGAACTCACCATATAAGCGCCCATAGTATTGTGACGGCTAGGAAGAGAGCCATGACGCCTCGTACCCTCACTGGGGGAACCACGCTGGGGTAGGCGTAAAAGGAAAGATATAACGGCTCATACATCCCAGCATTGGATACCCATGGAGATGGGCGTAACAGAAGGGGAAAGAGGGGTAAAGAAGGAATTGACAGGCGGGAAAATCCTCGGCCTCTTCTTTCGCCCTCTGCGCACCTGTCTAACAATAATCCACCGTGAGTCTTTCTCGGTAGATCAGCTTCTGAGGACATGGGTCTAACCAGATGTGGGAGGTCATGTGATGTCAGCTGACTGATCCTCGGCTTAGTCAACAAGTCTTTTATTTTGCGGACAAGATGTCTTGGCATGGAGATCCTTCCCAAAATAGTAACGCCCAGAGGTGTAATTCAGATCAGGCTTAGTGCCGCCCACGGAAAGAAACCGAGGAATTTTCCTTTTTGAGCGATCTGCTGCAGCCTTAGGAATCCATTCGGCCCGTGACATTCTTCGTTGGGCGGTTGAGAAAGTTGAGCCAGTTCGCCCGCAATACTACGGATAATCATCATCGAAAGTGCTCCCCAACAGCCAACACTATTTTGACATTCTTATTCTGCTCTCTTCTCTTCTCTTCTCTTTGTCTCTCTCGTCGCTTTGTTTAGTGGCCTATTTGTTGTTCAAATATAGATCTCTTTGTTCCTTGTATTTAGCCTGGCCTGTTGTAGACGGCGTTACGTTCGTTTTCCCCCCAGCTGGGTATGTCGCAGCTGGAGCGCTCTCTCGGGCATTGTCACATGGGTCATATGTAGGCGGCAATTCCTGCCAACTCCCCCCGACTGCTGACATACTCTCAACCTTTACACATCCCTCTCCTTCTACCTATCTCAATCGTCGGTCTTCAATATCTCTCTACTCGCTTCCCTGGTCTATCCGAAATAATTGAAGGCGCATCCGCGTCGACATCTCGGCATGCAGTACGTCCGAAGTATCAGCGGTTCGGTGTCGAAGACATGGAATTCCATCAATCCAGCCACCTTGAGCGGGGCTATTGATGTCATCGTCATCGAACAGGAAGATGGTAGCTCCTCATACATATTGATCCATATTGATCTCTATAACCCTTTGTCGCTAATGCTTGTCGATAGGAACACTCGCCTGTTCGCCGTTCCATGTTCGATTCGGCAAGTTCTCTTTGCTCCGTCCATATGAGAAGAAGGTACCGATTGCTGTCCCGGAGGGTTTATTCAGACCTGACTGAGCTGGGTGTTTTCAGGTGGAATTTAAAGTCAATGGAGTCAAGCAGGACTATGCGATGAAGCTCGGAGAGGGCGGAGAGGCCTTTTTCGTCTTTGAAACATCAGACGAGATCCCGGCTTCATTGCAAACGTCACCGCTGGTATCGCCGACGGGGAGTCCGAGAACGCGCAGCGAGGAGGATCTTCCATCTTCTCTTCAGGAACCAGAGTTTCTGGACCTCGAAAAGTCCTCTGCCACAACTCATTCGCAGGATGCGAAAGCAGGATCGGACATATCTCTGTTTTCGAGAGGGGCGAGGGCATCTAGTGATTTGGGTACGGTTGACGCTTTACTTGGTTAGGATCAGGGGCTGTTGCTCATATGAGTATAGGTGTCATGACTCCTTTGTCGCAGTCTCTGGATGAGACTAGCGTCAGCCGACTCCGCAACGGCTCCTTCGGCAACGGACCAGGCAAATTTGACCGGGCAGCGTCCGAGCCTGTACTAACAGCGGAGAAACAGACTGGCACTTCCAGTGAGGGTGATTTCGCTCTCGGAGCGCAGCCTCCCAGTCCCACAGCCAGCGAGGGCGCCAATCACACCGACCGCCCCCGGAGTCCTCCTTTACTCACGCCCCAGGAAGCCGTTTCGCGCGCACTTTCTCTATCAAAGAAACTGTCGTCATCCAACATTCCAACTCGGGTCAATGAGACGGGCGATCTCATGCTCGACATGACCGGATACAAAAGCAACGAGGAGGACGCTATGCGTGCCGAACTCATGGCCCGTAAGATCTTGGCGGAGGAACTGGAGGGAAGTTACGATATTGGGGCCCTTATCGGAGCGGACGAGCATGGAAACTTGTGGATCTACAGTAGCGAGGAGGCAAAGGAGGCTGCCAATCGCCGTGCAACTTTTAATGCAATGCGACCGAACTCGGCCATGAGTGAGAATGCCATCTCTGACCCTGGGTACCACAGCGACACTGATCGCCCTGTGTCCGAGTCGCCGTATCCGACTCGGCATCACCGTGCCAAATCCGATGTGCAGCCAGGCTTCCCTACTCCTCCGCAATCCCCTACTCAAGACTCCACCCCAGCAGAGCAAACCCGGAATTATGCCAAGACTCTTCGCCTGACGAGTGACCAGCTCAAGGCACTGAATCTGAAGCCTGGTGGCAATCCAATGTCGTTCAGTGTGAACAGAGCTACCTGCACTGCGACCATGTACCTCTGGAATAGTACCACGCCCATTGTCATTTCCGATATCGATGGGACGATCACCAAGTTAGTTTTCATGCGGTTGTCTGTTGTGTGTTAAGGTACTAACGAAGTGCAGGTCCGATGCTTTAGGCCATGTGTTGAATATGATCGGTCGGGATTGGACTCATGCTGGAGTGGCGAAGTTATACACAGACATAGTCAATAATGGCTACAATATCATGTATCTCACAAGCCGATCTGTGGGCCAGGCGGATACCACCCGTACATACATTTACGGAGTCTGCCAAGATGGCTACAGGTTACCCAAGGGTCCTGTCATCATGAGCCCTGACAGGACGATTGCGGCGCTCAGGCGGGAAATCTACTTGAGGAAACCGGAGGTGTTCAAGATGGCTTGCTTGCGGGACATTTTGGGTCTTTTCAACGGAAAGGAGAATCCGTTCTACGCTGGCTTCGGCAACCGTCTGACAGACGCGCTGAGTTACCGGTCGGTCAACATTCCGTCGACCAGGATCTTTACTATCAACTCGAACGCGGAGGTATCCCTGGATCTTCTCAGCCTGAACAAGTACAAGAGCAGTTACGTGACCATGCAGGAACTGCTGGATCATTTCTTCCCACCTGTCAGCCTGCTGGTCCAGCCTGGGGGTGAAAATTGTACCGATTTCACCTACTGGAGGGATGCTCCTCAGGATATTGAGATATTCTCGGATACGGATAGTGATGCAGGAGACGAAGAGGACGAAGACGAACTAGATGAGGAGATAGAGGAGGAAGAGGAGGAAGAGGAGGAGGAGTATGACGGCGAGTTGAGCGAAGAAGAAGATGGCAGTGAAATTGATGATGAGGTCGACGAACTTGGAGAGAGTTACATCTCACAGGAGTCGATGGATGGACTTCGGCTGTCTGAATCCAACGCCTCTTTGGCCGCAGACAGTTCAACCCAGGTCGAGGAAGACGAAGACGGAAATGCGGATGATATGGCTGCAGAGACCAAGCTGCTAAAATCGAGGCTTTCTCCAACGTCTGAAGCCGTTTGATCTGCTTGAGCAAACCGAGACAGAGCGTGAAAAGTATTAAATCACGACGTCTTTTTTTTGGATATATGGGAAGCTGTTTCGCGTGGCTTTTGCAACGCTCAATGATACCCAACCCCTCGCACCGATTATAGTGACAGCGTCGGCCCACACTATCAGAGCCTCTTTGAAATTTTGATTCCTTTGCATAAGCGGCGTTTGAATCTTTGCATACTGATTGTTGCCTTGTTCTCGTTTGTGTTGTGAGCATCGTTGGACGACCTGGCGCTATAGAGATTCTCAGCGAGTTGCATGGTTTGATTCAGAGTCGAGTCTTGAAGGATTTGCACCTGGATAGAGTGTTAGAATGCAGATACATATTATTATATTATATATTCGAGGTGTTTCTGTTTTGTCGCTGTTGAGCATCGGATGGAATCCATGGGATGACTTCCGAATATAGCATAGCGCCGCATGGAGTCGAAGAAATCCAGCTCATCGATCAACTCGACAGACAGTAAAATCCCGTTCAATAATAACACAACCACGCTCTGTCGGTAAATGGCAGCCCATTCATCAAATTCGTGGTATGCTGCTGTTGATATTGTACTGAGACGACGTGCCACCGCGATCTCCATCACTGCGTAGCTGATTTCTCCGATACTCCTCTCTCTCCTCTCTCCAACCTCACCAACCTCACCCACCTCACTTCACCATCCACCTATCCATCCATCAAGCACATACAATGGCATCGCCAGCTCAGTCGCAGGCCCAGGCCTCAACATCAAACCAACCACTCACACCGCCAGCCGAACCCTCATCAACGAATAACACAGCCAACACCACCGCCTCCTCGCAACAACCTCACCCGACAGGACCCTCCACCACCACCGCACCCAACACAGCCATGCCCTCCACGACCCCCCAGCCAACCCAGATCCCATCAACTTCACTCACAGACAGCGGCAAATCACGCCGCCCGCGCGACGTCCGCCTAATCCACATGCTCCTGGCGTCGCTCGGCGTAACCGCATACCAGGAACGAGTCCCGCTCCAACTCCTCGATTTCGCGTACCGCTACACCTCGGGCGTCCTGCAGGACGCGGTCCACCTCGCGACGGAGGGCTACGCAGGCGCCACCGACGCCGGACCAAGCAGCAGCCGCGGCCCCGTGGAAGTCAACAGCGTGACGCTCCCTGCGCTGCGGCTGAGCATCGCGTCGCGCCTCCACTACCAGTTCCAGACGGGTCTGCCGAAGGAGTTTCTGATGGATGTTGCGTCGGAGCGGAATCGGGTGGCGTTGCCCGGTGCGTCGAGGGGGTTCGACAATGCGGGCCAGGCGAAGAGTGCCTCCGCGGCGCATCAGAGTGTTATTATGGGGGGGATGCGGTTGCCGCCGGAGCGGTTCTGTCTGACGGGCACCGGGTGGAATATGAAGGATGAGTGGGAGAGTGAAGGGGAGGAGGAGGAGGTCGAGGATGCGGCGGCGGCGGCGGCGGGCTCGGCCCAGGATCAGGAGAGGAAGGCTGGTGGTGGGGTGGGAGGTGTCAAGGAGGAAGGGGATGAGGATATGGGCGAGGATGAGGAAGAGGATGGCAAGATGGAGGATGTATTTGGGGAGGATACGGCCATGGGGGAGGGTGATGGAGACGGGGACAAGGATATGACGGATGTTTAGGCTCTCGGTATCTGGAGTTTCGCTTAAAGGGAGGGCAAAAGGACGGAGTTGGGCGTATGGGCTGGTCGCAACGGTCATTTGAGTGTGGAGATTCCATGATCTTGTATTGATCCCGGTTTGATGCCAGCGCTCTCAAACAAAGCAAAGCAAAGCGTATTGTACATAATGAAATGACTGTCTTCCCAATCAATCATGCAGTGATGTAAATCAAACAATCAACGCCAACCTATGTACGCCAGACGACTACCCACACTTTCTCTCTGTCTCTCCTGTCGAGAGTCACGAGAGATCATCTCTTCTTCCGCGCCTCATCCTCCCTCATCATCCGAATAACCTCCTCCCTCCTCTTCTCAACCCGCGCCAACTCCTCCTCCTTCGCCCGCCGTCTCTCCTCATGCGTCGCGAACCACTCCTCCCGCGCCCGGTCCTCCTCTTCCGGCTTCGCATGCGCAACCATACACGAGTTCATGGCCAGCCGTTGAGCCCGACATACCCAGGTGGCCGTTACTGTACGATTGACGGCACATTCCGCAAACGCTGCAGCCGAGTTAGCACCTCTCTTCTCCTCAATCAAGATCACATAATTATAATGCTTGGGGGAAGGGCCGGGCAGGCACCTTTGATCTCCGGGGCGCAATGCGCTCGTACGCGTTTGTAGTAGAGCTGCTTGACTTCGGCTTCCTGGGAGGCGGAAAGAGGGAGGGGATTGTGTAGATTGTATTTCCGAGCGGGTGTGCTCTGTGGCTGTGTTGGTGTGGGTGTGGGTGTCGAAGTTGATGCGGACGCTGATGTTGAAGCCATGGTATTCTGATGCCTCGGTGAGGCCGCTTGACCCTTAAGTTATGGATGAATGGTGCCGAGATGATTGGGTTGATAAATCCCTCGACCGCCTAGATCAATTGAGCAGAGCTGTTGTGATGATTGACATGCAGAGGTTGCCGGAGTCGTGCACGAGAACGTTGTCCGATGAGGTCTGATGAGCCCCGTCGAACTTCTCCGCTACCGCCGAGCCGATTTTTTTCAACTCCGCCAGTTCACCTCAACGACAACAACACTTTTCCCTTCAACCATTTCCACACCCCTCCGATCCTGGTTGACGTAACCAGGAAAAAAGACAAAGCCTCAGCAAAAAATGTCTTCCATGCGCAACGCCGTCCAGAGACGGCAACACCGCGAACGAGGCCAGCTCGAAGGCCGCGAAAAATGGGGTATCCTCGAAAAGCACAAAGTACAGCACCCTTCCTTCCCCTCCCTTTCAGCCCTCTTCGAACATAGGTACTAACTCGCAGAATGAAAGGACTACTCCCTCCGCGCGAAAGACTACAACGCCAAAAAGGCCAAGATCAAGCGCCTCCAGGAACTCGCCGCCAACCGCAACCCGGATGAATTCGCCTTCGGCATGATGTCCGCGCACTCGCGGACAAAAGGCAAGCACGGCTCCGCGGCGCGAGACTCCGCTGCTAAGCGGGGACTAAGCCATGATGCGATCAAGTTGCTCAAGACGCAGGATGCGGGCTACCTGCGTACGACGGGGGAGCGGATACGGCGGGAGATGGAGAAGCTGGAGAAGGAGGTGAGACTGCAGGAAGAGATGCAGGAGGCTCTTGGGGGGGAGAAAGAAGAAAGCGCGGAGGAGGATGCGGGGGATGATGATGACGACTTCGATTTTGATTTCGGGCCCGAGGAGAAGCGCGGCCACCGGAAGGCGAGGAAGTTGGTTTTTGCGGATGATCGGCGGGAGCAGCGGGCGTTGAAGAACCGGCGGCTTCGCGAGGACGAAGATCGAGAAGAGGAGGACGAGGACGAAGAACAGTCGTTTGGTGAATTGCAGAAGAAGCCGCAGAGGAAGTCGCAGAAACAGCTCGATGCGGAGAGGCAGGCGCTCGTCGAGGCTCGTCGAGCCCGCAAGATGAAGAAGAGAGCCGCCGAGGCTCGTGAGAACAAGCTCAAGGCGCTTCGGAAGCAGTACGCCGATATCACTGCCGCTGAGCGCGAGCTGGACTGGCAGCGAGGGCGGATGGATAATTCGGTCGGGGGGACGAACAAGGATGGCATCAAGTGGAAAATCCGCGAGCGCAAGAAGTGATCTCTGGCGGGTCTTTCTTGTTGCAGCTCATATCGATGATACCTTTTTTTATTTCTATTTTTTCTTGCATTGGGCTGGAGGGTCAAGCAAAAGTTCTTTGATCTGGTCTATAATAGAGGCTTATCGAGGCGTTCAGGCGCATCTACCGTGAATACCAATTCGTCTTATGTCTTGGAACTCATTAAAGAAGGAAACTAGAGAATTTTATTCCGTCAAGCTCATTTCTAATTAATACAATAACTGCATCTCGTCGTAAAGTCCGAAAAACCAAAGTCATCACGCCTGGTTCTTCTTCATCGCGGCAACTCTGATGCTCACGGCCCGCTTGTGCGCGTCCAGTCCCTCAACGGCAGCCAACTGCTCCACCGTGCGCGACAGTCCCAGCAATCCCTCTGCCGTCAAGTTCGAGCTGGTGATGTGCTTGAGGAACGAGCCCAGGTTGACTCCAGAGTACTGCTTGGCGTAGCCGTAGGTGGCTGTTGATGTTAGCTTGATTCTAGATAGGGAGTGGACGAAACTTACGCAAAGAGTGGTTGACACCCGCCGAGTAATCACCAACACTCTCAGGGGTCCACTGCCCGATGAAAACACTGCCGGCGTTCACGACCTTCTCCACCACCGACTCCGCGTTCTGGACCTGCAGAATCAGATGCTCCGGCGCGTATTCGTTGCTGAGCGCCATGGCCTCATCAATGTCACGCACCACGAAGGTGACCGAGTGGGCCAGAGATCCTCGGACAATGTCCATCCGGGGCAGGGCCCGGGCCTGGGCATCGACCTCGTCCTCGATGGCCTGGAGCTGGCTCTCGTTCAAGTCGATGGCGATCAGGATCACCTGCGAATCAACGCCGTGCTCAGCCTGGCTCAGCAGATCCGAAGCCACAAAGGCTGGGTTGGCGTCCTTGTCGGCGATGACCAAAACTTCGCTAGGTCCGGCGGGCATATCGATGCTGACGCCGGCCGAGGTGTCGTTGGAAACCAGCATCTTGGCCGCCGTCACGAACTGGTTACCGGGACCCAAGATCTTGTCCACCTTGCTAATGCTCTCCGTTCCGTAAGCCATGGCGGCCACGGCCTGCGCACCACCGGCGAGGACAATGCTCTCGGCCCCCACCTTGTGGGCGACGTACACAATCTCGGGGGAGATGCTGCCGTCGGCCCGAGGAGGAGAAGCAAGGACAATCTTCTGGCAGCCAGCAACCATGGCGGGGACACCGAGCATCATGGCGGTGGACGGCAGCACGGCAGTACCACCGGGGACGTACAGACCAACACGCTCGATGGGGCGAGAAAAGCGGGAGCAAACGACGCCAGGCATGGTCTCAACCTGGAGGACGTCATTGCTACCCTTCTGGGCGGAGTGGAATTTCTTGATGTTGGCGATGCTGATATCGATGGCTTCCTGAGTCTCAGGCGACAGCTTCATCAGCTCGGGGGGGAACGGGGCGCGGATGACGGGAGAAGTCAAGGAAGTCGCCTTTTCAAACTTGTGGGTATACTTGAGCACAGCAGCATCGCCGCCCTCCCGTACATCCTGGATGATGGGACGAACGAGACCCACGATGGCCTCGTTGGACTTTTGAGAAGGACGCTTGAGGTACTCCTTGACCTTCTCCACAGGGGTGGATGCGGTGACCACGCGGGTCATCTCCATGCGAGAGTCATCCTTCTGGGCTTCTTCCTTAGCTGGAGCTGCTGGAACGGCGGGCTTCGTTTCGGCTGTGGCAGGAGCAAGACCAGCCTTCTCTGCCCAAGGACCCTTGGCATCGCCCTTTCTTCTCTTGACCTTGAGACTCTTCAGATCCAGGTTACGCTCAATATCTTCCAAGCTGACACCCGCAGCCACGCAGCGAGTCAGGGCAAAGTAGAGTAGGTCGGCAGCCTCGAAAGCGATCTCTTCCTTGGTGGTAGCGCGGCACAGCTCGTCGGCCTCCTCCATGATCTTTGCCTGGGTCAGCTTGGGCTCGTTGAACAGTCTGGCGGTGTAGGACCCGGCCGGCGCATCGGCTTTGCGGGCCTGAAGGGTCTTCTGCAGACGCGAAAGGCCATTGTAAGCTCCGAAGCAGCTCGCGGTACCCAGGTGGCAGAAGCCGCGGCCAATCTGCTTGACGACAAAGACCAGGCAGTCGCTGTCGCAGTCAAAGCCCAGGCGGATCAGTTCTTGCACGTCACCGCTGGACTGACCCTTGTACCACAGACCCCGCTTCCGGCTCTGGTAGACACCGGTTCCGGTGCGGAGAGCCTCGGCGATACTTTCATCGCTGCTCCAGACGAGACCCAGACATACTCCCCGCTCATCGGTCACCGAAGTCGCGTACAGACCGTTGCTCTGGTCCGCAACTGCACGAGCGGCGACAAGTGTGCCGGCGGCGATCTTGCCGTTGGGATTCTTGTGATCGAGGGTGAGAGCGTCGGCAGAGATAATGCTGACGGCACCCTGCTTCAATGTTTCCTTCACAACGTCCTCGGCGACGGTGCTGGCGGTGTAGGTGAGGTAGAGGTTCTGAGCCTCAAGGTTCAGGCCCAATTTGTCGGCCAGAGTCTTGACGGCGGGAGACTCAGTGCAGATTCCGGCTTCCTTTCTTTCAGCATCCTCGCCAACCCAAGACTGGAAGGCATCCACCTGGCTGTCGGAGGAGGTATAAACGACGAGACGTGACGAGGGAACGGATTGCTCTTGGGACAAAGAGGTCAATTGATCGAGGGAAATGAATACTTTGGCGGCACCGGCATTGAGGATATCGACGATGTCGCCGGAGGAAGCAATGTCGGTAGCATCGACGTAGACATCGAGGAGACGGAAATTCTGACGCAGGAACTCCTCAGCTTGAGCGAGAGAGGAGACCTTGATGAGGACACGGCCGAAGTAGGCGATCTGGGAGAGGGAGAGACCGGAGGAAGAGGTGGGGTTGTAGGAGATGAGGATTGGGGTAGCCATTTTGACGACTGGAGTGTGGAACAATTGATGAGCAATATAAGATGACAGATCAATCAGATCTGATGGTGATGATGATGAAATTGATCAAACCCCAAGTCCCTAGCCTGGGGGGAAGAAATGAGAAGGGAGGAGGATGACGAGGGGAGAATGAATCATCGCGAGAATTTCTTTTTAATGGGGAGATCTTGAGCCCCGCACCGAAAACAGCGAGTGAGAGGGTGAATCGAAGTTACACAGACAAGGGCAGACACTGTGAACCTCGAGATTGATATCAATTTGACTGTCTACAGGGTATGGGATTGACTGAAGTATTTACAAGAGATCCTTGGGTGTTGAATTGATGTGGTCTCTATGGACTGACTCTGAGGTGACTCCGATGAGCGGAGCTCTATGGCCATATCCTATCTTCAGAGGGTCTGCGTCTGGGAGTAATCAACCAATGTGAGGGTCCTGGCATGGTATTCGGAAGAGTGGAAGAAATCAAGGTTAATATCAAGGTTATAGAAGCATTTAGGCTGACCCTCTTGTCCCAAGACCTTCTTCACACAGGAACAGAAGTGTTCCTGCTGGCTGCTAGGTACGGAGTAGGGTCATCTGCTCTCCACGATGGGTTGAGGAGTCATCTGTAGTTGAATTCGAACCTGACCTTAGCAGCTGATCATATTGAGGAGGAGGTCTGATATTGGGTAGTATCGCTATAGACAGACGTTACATTCTGTTCGAGGCTATTATCACTATCACAAGGGGATTGCCAATAAGTGATTAATGCAGAGGAATAGCTGACTCATGGTCATATTATTCCCCTCCAATCATGTACAGGCATAGCTGTAAATGACAGTACATAATACCGTGGATTTACCCCTGCATAATCCACGTTCATCAGATCCCAAAAAGGAAAGCATAACAAATAAACAACAGCCTCAGGCATCCCATCTATCTCTATGCGAGCATAAAAGGGCGCTGACTTAGGATAGAATCATATACACTGGGAGTAAAGTCAAGAACTACCGTACCTACAGAATAGTTCAAATGATTCAAGATGACATTGTGAACCCGTAATTGACTAGTTTAGCGTCTTCTCCGTGTCCGAGCTCAAGTGACGCTGATCGGACTGGATACCTGATCCAGGCACTTAGCTCTCATACTACTACTTCATGAGTCTATAGACTAATGTGTCTTTCAACTAGTCCATCTGATTTAGTCCATGATCTCTCACAAATGGAGATGATGATCATCACATCAGCCAGTGATGGCAAGTTCAAGATGCAGAATTCCACCCTTTCATGCGATGATCCCTCTCCCTGTCCGTCACTCCCTCTCGACACGCGACTCCTCCTTTCAAGTCGCCTCTTCTTCCTGGCACCCCTCTCCCCTCTTTTCATTCTTCGACCTGGATGACTCCAACCTAGTCTTTCATTCTCTCCTCTTAGTCCTAGACTAAACCGTTATATAATTATCCGCCTGTTCTCTCAGGCTGTCGCTCGTTTGCTACCGGATGTCTTAGGAGAACGACTACTTCTCCCTGTCTATCTTTCTCTCGTTTCGGGATTTTGTATTATTCCTCCGTTGGCATCATGCTTTTGCCGTCTCTGTCCGTGGCTCTGGCCCTCGCGGGCTCGTCTCTGGCCTTGCCTCAAGCTAACCAGCCTGTTCCGCTTGGAAATGATGTCTCGTCACGCGCAGCGGCCGTCAAAGAGGCCTTTTCCCATGCCTGGGATGGGTATCTGAAATATGCCTTTCCTCATGACGAGCTGCACCCGATTTCCAATGGTTATGGCGATTCAAGGTATGACAATCAGCAAGCTTACTTTATTCAATGCACATGCTGACCTTGTGATCAATTCAGAAATGGTTGGGGCGCATCTGCGGTCGATGCTCTATCCACCGCAATTGTGATGCGCAACGCGACGATCGTCAACCAGATTCTGGATCATATTGCCACCATCGACTACTCCAAAACCTCGGACATGGTCAGTCTGTTCGAGACAACCATTCGGTACCTAGGTGGCATGCTGTCTGGATATGACCTGCTGAAAGGGCCCGCCGCCGACCTCGTCAAGAACAGCACCAAGGTGGATTTGCTTCTGAGACAATCCAAAATCCTTGGGGACATGCTCAAGTTCGCCTTTGACACGCCGTCGGGTGTTCCCTACAATAATATCAACATCACTTCCCATGGCAATGATGGCGCCAAGACCAACGGGCTGGCGGTTACTGGGACCTTGGTCCTGGAATGGACCCGTCTGTCCGATCTCACGGGAGACCAGGAGTATGCGAAACTCAGCCAAAAGGCCGAGTCCTATCTACTCGCGCCCCAGCCTAGCTCCGCCGAGCCTTTCGAGGGCCTCGTGGGCAGCTCCATCAGCATCCAAACGGGCCAATTCACCGATGGCTTCGTGAGCTGGAACGGCGGGGACGATTCCTTTTACGAGTATCTCATGAAGATGTACGTGTATGATCCTAAGCGGTTTGCAACGTACAAGGACCGCTGGGTGGCCGCCGCGGAGTCGAGTATCGAGCATTTGGTGTCCCATCCCGCATCCCGGCCGGATCTCACCTTCCTGGCCACGTACAACAACGGCTCATACGGTCTGAGCTCGCAGCACCTGGCCTGCTTTGATGGCGGAAGCTTCCTGCTTGGCGGCACCGTGCTGAACCGGGCCGACTTGATCGATTTCGGACTGAAGCTGGTCGATGGATGCTTCGACACGTACAATCAGACGCTGACGGGGATTGGACCGGAGAGTTTCGGTTGGGATGCAAACTCCGTGCCGGCCGACCAGAAGGAGTTTTACGAGCGCGCCGGCTTTTACATTCAAAGTGGCGCATATATCCTGCGACCCGAGGTGATTGAGAGTTTCTACTATGCGTACCGCGTCACCGGCAAGAAGCAGGTATGTTCCTGACGTTCCCGTAGTGTGATCTTGACTGATCGGTCTAGTACCGTGACTGGGTGTGGAATGCCTTTGTCGCTATCGACAAGTACTGCCGCACGGGGTCTGGATTCGCCGGGCTGACCAACGTCAACGCTGTCAATGGAGGCGGTCGATATGACAACCAGGAGAGTTTCCTGTTTGCCGAGGTGATGAAGTATGCGTACTTGACGCATGCACCAGGTATGAGAGCCCGACTTTTCGCAGTGGATGAAGCTAACGAGAACAGAGGACGAGTGGCAAGTCCAACGGGGGGACGGCAACAAGTTTGTGTTCAACACTGAGGCTCATCCGATCCGGGTTCATCATACGTGACCTATTCGTACATACCTACATCCTAGCTAGGTTTAATTAGTATGCTGTATATCAAGGAATCTTTTTAAAGATAGAAATGTGGTTAGTTGATGTACTAGGCATAAGCGACGAGGAAGTACCTAGGATGGAAACTGTAGGTACTCACCTATACTCGGTATAACAATAAAGCACTCTCAACTAGAACTTTATTTATCTAGCCAAAGGCCTATAATTTCAAATGAATGGTCATCTCGAGTATACCTGAAATAACACCTGAGCACCTCAATCAGCTGACAACTAGAGCCTCTGGTTTTCCTCTTCTCCTTCATTGATTTCCAAGAAGACATTGTACGGGACATGGGGACCCTGTTAGGGGCAGAAGAGAGTCCACTGGTAGGCTGGAAAGGAGGGTTCCCCGTATACTGGATTTACATGCCCGATCCTTGTGCATATAAGAGCTAGGAAGCGAGAGGCCAGCGATTGATTTTGTTACTTGACAACAGAGGTTGAGCTACCAGTTATGTACTCCCGCACGAATCCTGTGCTCCATCTGAATCTGTTGTAACGAAAGGGGCCGAATTACAGGGTTTAAAAGCTTCAAATGGTGGATTGCATCACCATGAGACTTGACAACAACACCAGCATCCAGCAACTCCTTGACAATAATAATGGATCTGTGACCACAATGCTCCAATGCCACGGCTTCCCAAGCCTGGACCACAGGAGGTCGCAGGGTGAATTCCCATGTTCCTCTCCAGGTTATCACGGCAGGCTGCCCTTCCCCAGTTAGCTGGTATCTGAAGAGCATTGCCAATCCCTCTCGTCCATTCCATATCTCCATTGATTTAAGATTTGGCATTTTCATGGCCACTGCTGCCGCTGCCTGAAGCATGTTATCAATCTTGATTGGGCTCTCATCAGGTGTGAGCAGTTGTGAAGTCAGCGCAAGTGAAGTCAAGCTGGGCCACTTCCAGGAAGGTTTACAAGCATGGAAGAAATAGCTGGCATCCACAATAAATGATGCTGAGAGGTGCTCAAGCTTGAGACTGGCTTTGGCGACCGCCCAGCTGACATCCGAGGTCGGGATTCGAATAGGGTTGCAACCATCAGCATTACCCTTAAAAGCTAGCGCGTACTGTGGATTGAAATTCTCGAAGAGTATGAGTCTTCGTAGTTTGCTAGAAGCGAGCGATTCAAAAAGTGGTCGGAAAGCTTGATCTGTCCACCGCTGCTGAGTATCATACCATTCCCTCCAAGGCTCGTAGTGAATCTCCTGGAGTCTTGGAAGACGGGCAAACATCTGTGCTAATGCACCTGGCTTCCACCGTCGGCGGGTCTGTTGACGTAGAAGCACACCTGTTACTACTGGGACTAATGGCAGTTGCTGCCACCACTGGTTTTCCTGTTTGTCATCATCAAATGGTCCTTCACCCATGATTTCATCAAAAACTTTGTGGATACCAGCTGTGGACGGAGTGGAAATTTGACTCCCAGCAATCCAACCATGCTGGTGGTCATCAAGTTTGGCCAGCATTGACTGCTCTGTGCATAGACCCAGGTCACACTCATCAGAGGGGATATCAGGCCCAAAGGTCAGATATTTGAACCAGTGTTCTGAGTCACTGGGAGAGTGAACACTGATATCAAGCAGCAAGTTGCCATTTGGTTCCCATGTGCTGAGAGTTGAGAACAGATCCTGGAATGCTGTGGTAATTAGGGTATTGTCTGTGTTGCTGATCCCCATTATCTCTAGATCTCGAGGCTCACACTGGGTGCAATCATATTCTTGGAGTTCCAAGCAAAGCCATATGTAGCGTACAAGAGCCCGATTACGGTGAATAATTGAACCAAAGTCAGCGAGGCGTGACACTGTGAGGTGGATTTGGGCGAAGTTGTGCTGCTCAATAATCATCTGCCACTCCCGTGACACTGTAGCGAAGCCAGCCAAGCTACAACCATCCTGCAGTAAGGCTTCCAGGACCAAAATCCGGATCTCTGCAGGCAAGCAGTGCCAAGACGACTTATCAGCTGTCATTAATGACATTGGTGTCACTCTCATGAATGAGGGTGGGACATCCGCTATCTGATGATTGGAAGGAAGATGGGAATGTCTCTGAAAGGGGATAGATCTATGAAACTAACTACTAGCTATCTGTGTGGGAACGCTATAGTTAATTTAGTGGGTCGCTGAGCTAAGCGAGGGTTGAGCCCTCTGGCCTATGATTGGCCAGATGGTGAGCCACTCTGACAGTAAATATTGCTAGACTAGCAGTTGTTAATAATGCATGAGATGACAGAAGTGCTGCGGAGTAACTAATGACTATGAGAGTAACTAGTAACTGTAGAGTGTAGATGCTGAGTCTTGTAAGATGCACAGCCTGCATCCTGGATATAGTATTTGATATCGATACTATGTGGTATTCGATATTGATACTATGTGGGTGTTTAATATTGATAGGATATCAAATACCCATATAGTATTGATATCGAAATTCATATATAGGAAATGTAAATTATATAATTCTAGTGAGGGTACATACTTAAAAATCTATTTACATTCTTTCATTTTGTCCCAATGGCTTGCCGTAGTCTATTCTAACCGACCCACATGTGCGCGGATTTGAGCAACCTTGGGGTCCATACCGGGCTGATATTCCCTCAATCCTGCTCACTCTCATACCTTGGGGATCGGCCTATAAATACAACAGATGTAGACAACTGTAGACCTCAGCTACCCTCTCTCTCTTCCAAACCCTTATCCATATCCCTCACTACCTAGATCCCTGTACATAAAACCCAAACCCAACGATCAAAATGTGCGGAAACACCCACCGTCCCGCCTCCAACGGCCGCATCGCAGTCATGTTCCCCTCCCCGTCAACCAAGACCATGAACACATACTCGCTCTTCTTCCACGAGAGCCAGTCTCACACCAGAGCGATATTCCGGCTCGACGACGCCGGGACGAGAGAGGCATTCGGGAAGTGCGAGAGTATCGATTTGAGGATCGAGTATGTCCTGTCCCCTCCCGTTCCCTTCTTCCGGATTTCCTGGCTGGTAATGGTGATGGTAACGGATGGATGGCATGGTAGGCGGTTTGGGGATCTCACGTCTGCGTTGACGGCGCCGCCGCTGCATCGCTTCCGGTTACGTCCCAAGCCGGGGGTGAGGGGGATGGCGATGGAGATGGAGTTTGAGTTACCCGAGAGGTTGGATCTGGGGGTTTCGGAGAGGGGGATTGTAGGGCGGCAGGTTACTGTTGTTGCGGAGGGG